ATGTTAGTGATATTTATTTGTTTGTGAAAAGGACATTTGAAAGAAATGGGGAGACCTGATACTAGCCCTTCTTCTGTCACTATGACCTTCAGCAAGTCAGCCATTTAGCTTTGTGTTTTCTTCATCTGGAAAGGAAGGCAAGGTCTCCGGGACTGCTAAGCTTCCTTTCAGCTATACATTTCTGTTTCTATGAAAACTTTAGATAAGAATTTAGTCATATACTATATAAAATGTTGCTTTACTTGGGAGTTATTTATAGTATATAATTTTATATTGCAAACAGGTATTTTAAAATATATAAAAATTCAATTTTATTTTTTCCCTAAATGTTTACTGCTTAATACATTGCATTTCTTTTCCAGATTTTTCATTTTGAGAAAGAAAATACCTTTTTTTAGGTAAATCTCCCATTCTTCTCAGTGCCTGCTACCTCTCTCTCTTCTACACCCCACTTCTCTCCAAAATCCCACTGCCACACTTTAAAAGTAACTCTGACAATCATAGAAGCCTACAAAATAATGGCATAGGCATCCTGACAAATTCTGGGGCACTACTCTGCAGTAGCCATAGACCAATGCCTGACCACTATGTTGTGAAAATATAATTCAGAGGAAACATATGTATGCATAGTTGACCCAAATAGTATGATTTTATAGCATAGCACAGTTTAAGGAGAAATGTCATTTCTTCATTGTCTTGCATATACTGCTTTCCACCTTTTCTTCTCTGTATTTTCTGCAAAAACTGATTACAACCATGAATCAGTTTCACAGCTACAAATATTGGTCTTGGTATAGATATATAGTTTACATACACTTAACTTTTTCACTGATGCATTTAGTTTTCAAGAAATTACTATGCTTTAATAAACCCATATCAGTGGGCAGTATGTGACCACAAACATCCCTATCTTAGGCTTAAACATCCAGTCTGTTTTAGCCACCCATTCAGCTGTAAGCTCCAATCCAGAGTAGGACACTGAGCAAAGTGAAGATCCAGAAATAATAACCCATTGGGCTTAGCATCTCATTGACCAGAGAAGCTCTGGCATTTTGGGAATGCTGGGATCTGGACCTGAGTCCTACTCATCAGCATCTATCACCTGACCTGAAGGCACACAAATGCTGTGGAACAATTTAAAAGAAGGAAGCCCTAAGATTCAAGGCAGAATACTATTACTAGGGTCCAAGAAAGACTTCAAAGCTGAGGAAAAATTCAAAGCTTAGTAAGAAACATCTTACTTAGATTGAGAAAGTATTGTCTACACAGAGAAAGTATTTGTGGATCCTCCAAATAACTTTAATCCATACTTGTTTTTTTTTTTTTTTTCTTAATACTATTTACCTTCACATTGCAGTAGGAGTGTAGCTGTTTACTAGGGGAACACACAGGATGATTATTTGGGATGATGTTTCACATCCTTGACTCCTGTTCTGGTGGATGTTTGTTCTTGCTATAGTTTGGACCATACCAGGAACTGTAAGGATTATTTCTTGAAAGAGTTAGAACATAGAGTGATATTATTCTTTGAACTTTTCTGTGTTTTCTAGTATCCTAATACCGGGCTCTTATTTTGTTAGCATTTTGGATTGAGAAGTTACAAACTACATTACTGTAATACTTAGCTATTGTTAGTATATTTTCAGCTGATTTGCCAAAATTTTGGCCATATTTCGGGCTAGATTTACTTTGTCAGAACTATCACTGTGGGAATTATGGATGCCTCATGGTTTTGCAAATGTAATAAGTGATGTGGGTGGTCTGTTCATATGGTTTGAAACCCCTTGCCATTTTGTGCACATCTGCCATCTGAAGGCCGGCTCCTCCATCTAAGCTGTAAGACTGCCTTTGAGCTACTAAAAGCCAGTGGGGAAGACCTTAAGCAGTGATTGGTAGGTTTCGGCATATAAACACCCTCGCTTCCTTGGCCCTTACTTAGCCAATTCTAAGGCATGTGCCTTACACCATTTGTCAGAGTTTCCTCTACAGGATGAAGCTTCAGTTGGCCTCTCTGATTGCTATCTTAATATATTAGCTGCTTTCCCTTCTGTTATCATGTTCTCTACTCCTGTCTGTTTACTAAGACCCTCCCAAAAACTTATCTTCACTCATTCCTTGTCTCAGAGTCAGCTTCTGGAGGAACTCCAACTAAGACAGCTATCTAATTAGCCCAACGATTAGACTCCATCACATTTAGGCTGATGTTAATTTATTTTACACTGTTATGTTAAATTATTTAGAAAAAAAATGGCAATTTTTCTAAATTGCTGTAAGGGTGATCTGTTTAAATTTATTTGAGATTTAAAATATTTAGAATGAGAGATCTCTTTTCATTTTTTTGTGGCACAAAATTGTTAAAATTACCAGCTATTAAATATTGGTAAAAATTAGCAATAGTGTGTGAGTAAAAGGGTGTTAGATGGTCACCCTTTTATTAGCATTCTAAACATTATTTTTAAATAGTAAAATCAATATAAGTAATAAAGTCAACACTGGTGGAAGTAAGGAAAAATACATTTAAAAAAAAAAAAGAATATAATTCTAACAAAAAGTTTATGGAGATCTATAGCCTAAACTAAAATGAACCGTAATACCTCTAAAATGCTCAAATATAAATATTTAGGGGAAACTAAAAATGCTAAAGAATTGAAAACAATAAAAAAAATGATAAAGAAGTAAGATCCTAGGGCACTAAAAACTAATATTCAGAGAACTTAATGTACCAAATAAACTAATAAAATACTTAACAGCCACCTTGATACTAAATGTAAAATGTAATAAAATGCTCAAATGAAAGTATTAAGAGCAACCTAAAACTACTAAGAGAATTAGAATGGAGACGATTTTAGCATACCAAAAATGAATTTAAAAAGCAGTCTTTCAAAGCCAAAAAGATTGCTTTTCTGGTCACAGAAAAGCAAATCACTCACTGAGTACTCAAGGTCTCAGAGTGAAAATGAAGGCCTGGGTGTAGTTGTAACCACCTGATGGGTTCATCTTGCCCGCTGCCCAGGTAGAGCCAATTTATCAAGGCAGGAGAATTGCAATAGAGAAATAATTTAATACATGTAGAGCCAGCTAAACCAGAGACTGACGATTTATTATTAATCAAATCAGCATCCCTGAAAATTTGGAGGGTGGGGTTTTTTAAAGATAGCTTGCTGGGCAAGGAGCTAAGGAATTGTGAATGCTTGCACTTAGTCGGTTCTTGGGTGTGGGCCACAAGAACAGATGAGCCAATTTACGGGTCTGGATGACGCCACCTGATCCATCAGAATGCAGAGGCTAAAAAATACCTCAAACACCAATCTTAGGTTTTACAATAGCAATGTTATTTGTAGGAGCAACTGGGGAGGCTTGTGAACTTGTGGCCCCTGGCTGCATGGCTCCTGAGCCATAATTTCTAACCTTGTGACTAATTTTGGTTTTATAAAGGTGATCTGGTCTCCAAGAAAGGAGAGAGTTTGTTTTAGGGAGGGGCTATTTTCAGCCTTGTTTCAAAATTAAACTATAAACTAAATTCCTCTCAAAGTTAGTTCAGGCTACACCCAGGAATGAACAAGGGCAGGTTGGAGGTTAAAGGCAAGATACAGTCAATAGTCAGAATTCTTTCACAGCCGTAATTTTTTCACTGTTATAATCTTTGCAAAGGTGATTTCATAGTCTGAAGGAGACAGGAGTGAGGAGGTGGCTGAGCTTAACTCCCTTGGAACGAACAGGCTTATTCTCTTGATCTTTGGGGAAGGTGTCAGAAAAGAGTCTCATCATTGGTGTCAACTATTGATGGTTTGGGGAGCCTAGACCAATACTGGACTAAGGCTTATTCGACTAAGCCCTGCTTGCAATCTGTCTTTTTTTTTTTTTTTTTTTTTAGTATCTTTCAGAGA